CGCCGCCGGCCGCGCGCGCGCCCCCGCCGCGGGACTACTTTCCGTCGCCGCGTCCCGCCCCCTGCTCCCGCCGCACTTTCCTCCCCGGCGGAGGGGCACCGCTCGGCGGCGCGTGACGCGTCCTTGTGTGAGCCGCGCCGCTATTGGGCCCGGGCCCGGGCGGAAATGAGAGCGTGGCGTTGATTGGTCCGGCCTGCCCTGCAATGCGTCAAACTGGGGCGAGCCACTGCGTTGTGGCGGGGGGGCAGCCTGCAATGTGTGGCTGCGCGGAGCTGCGGGGCGTAACGAGGCGAAGGGGGAAGCCGAGAGGCAAAAGCATCGTCCTTGTGGCCAGAGAGTGGTAAAAGGGATGGCAGGAGAGGCAGAAAGACTTGCTCGGCTCTCCCCTCTAACAGATGGAAGATGGTGCAATCCAAAATGCTGGGGCCTGCAAGCCCCGCCCCCAACTGGGCCTACGAGGGGGCGGGGTCTTCAAGGTTCTTCTGGTCCGGGCAGGTGTCTGCGCCGTGAGACATTCCAGAGGTGTACGGGACTCACTATCTCTGCTTTGCTCCTGATCGGCTCTGGGTCCATGAAATTGGGGCCGTCCCAGGACAGCCTCTGGGAACAGGACATTCATTCAGTCATTCATTTAATAAGCATGAATTGGGTGCCTGCTGTATGCAGGGACCTGGCTTGGCTGGGCTGGGAAGACCTTACTTCCCAACCATTATCCTGTCATCTCCTAGACCACCTGACTCTTGCTCTCCTTGTTCCAAGGTTTCAGCCATAGGAGGAAAAGGAATTAACGCGAAGGTTAGCCGAGACTATTTGTTTACTGGAGCTCAGAAAAGCTCCTGTTTAGAATAAGAGCTGCGTTTGCTTAAGTGTCCCTCCCCCCCCCCCCCCGTGATTGGCTGAGGGATAAGCAGGTGAGTCAAGCTGGGCCAATCATTATGGTCCACCTGGAACAGAATGTAGCCTGAGCCAATGAGAGTCCTTCCCTGGGTTTTTGGATCTGGAGCTTGAGGGGCAAGAAGTCTTTTCCCTTTGGGTGGTGAGGCTGTGAAGGAATAGTTCCAGAACTGTCCGTGGCCATTTTCCCATCCCCCCACCCCCTCCACCTCGGGAAAGAAAGTGTCTAGAGGAGGGCGAGAATAAAACTGACATGAGGGAGAAGCAAAGAAGAGATGGAGTGAGAGAGTCCTGTTGGACCTCACTTCCCTGCTTCCAGTACCCTAGGGGCCAGCTGCATCCCATTAAGCCAGAATTTTGATTACATGAGCCATTAAAATTTCCCTTTTACCCCAAGCTGGTTTGAGTTGAATTTCTGTCACTTGCAACCAAAGAATTCCTGATGGATATGAGCTGGGCTAAACTCGGTCTTGGTCATCAGCACTGGCCCTGGAACAGAGAAGGCCAAGGACCCTGTCAACATTTGCCAAACAAATAAGGAAAATGAAGGCAGGCTCGTGCTCTCTGCCCCTTCTCTTTGTTTGATTCGCAATTTCTACCCGGCAGATCTTAACTTCTGAATTACTTAGGGCTATGAAATAATAAATATACTACTGCTAATGCTTTTGAGCACTTACTCTGTTCCAGGTACTGTTCCAAGCACTTTGCATGCATTAGCTGATTTAATTCTCACAACCTCCCTGTAGGTTTGTACTTCCATTTTCCGCCTGATGAAACTGTTTTATTGCCTAAGGAATTGGATGAGACCATGGAGTAGGAAGGCTTGACCAAGAACGGAGAAGTGAAGTAGCTTGCCCGTGGTCACACAGTACGAGGTAGAGTCAGGATTTGAACCCAAGCAATTTGACTGAAAACCCCACACTCCTCAGCACCATTACACTACCAATGGCAGAGACTGTATTTGTTTTCCATGATCCATTCTCCCTATCTTCCAGAGTAATAGAATTTTAGCTGGGCACATTACCACTCTGAATAAAAACTACATTTCCCAACCTTCCTTGCAGTTGGGGGTGATTATTTGATTTAATTCTTGCCAAAAAGGATGTGAGCAGAAATGACATATGCAACTTAGGGGTATGTTTGTAAAGGGAGGAGACAAGCCCTCCGTCTCCTCTTTCTTGCTGGCAGAACAGCCATCACGGGCATTAGATGAGAGACCGATGGTGAACGTGCTCACTTGGGACCTTTATGATATCCTTGGGCAGAGCTCATTCTTCAGCCCACAGTGCCAAACTTTTATTTAAGAATAAACTTCTATGTTGCTTAAGCCCCTGTTATTTTGGATCACTTTGTTATAGCAGCCAAACGTATACTTGCCCTGCATCTCCATATACTTGCCCTCTTTTTGGTTACTGCCTTTGTTTTAGTGGAAACTGACTCTGGTGCCTAGTTTAGTGAGGGGATGTGTGGTTCAGGCATAAACCAATCGGCATGTCCTACTTCCACACCTCTGACTGGTTCAGAGCCAGCTGCGGGACCCATTTTTTTTTTTTTTGCATGTGTGGCATAATTTACATTTGATAAAATGCCACAGATCTTAAGTATTCAGTTCCACGAGTCTGACAATTATATACACCCCTGTAAACACCACCCAAGACAAGCTATAGAACATTTGCGTGATCCCAGAAGTTAGCTCCCTGAGGCCCTTTCCAGTCAATTCCTGTCCGCCTCAAGCAACCACTGTTCAGGTTTCTGTCATTAGAGATTAGTTTTGCCTGTTCTAGAGTTTTATAGAAATGGAATCTTATAGCATGCATTTTTTTGTCTTCAGCTTTATTTTGCTCAACTATTCCAGTGGGAGTTTGATTCTCTCACTGGAATATAAGCTCCATGACCTCTCACCTTCCTGTCTGTTTTGTTCACTGTTGTATCTCTGGTGCCTAAAACAGAGCCAGGAACATAGAAGGTGCTCAATAAATATTTTTTGAATGAATAAATAAATACAAGGAGATGGAATTCTCCTACAATGCTGGTGGGAGTATGTGTTGATACAATCATTTTAGTGAGTGTATCATTTAGGATAGACTAGGTTATAGTGTAGTCACAACTACAGAAATCTCAGTTTACACAATTCAAGTTTATTTGTCACTCACACAAAGTCCACTGTGTGTCTCGGTCCCTCTGCAGGACAGTGTCCTCCATATCGTGACTTAGTGACCCAGGCTCTCTCATCTCTCTGAAGGTCTCTATGTTGCCACAGCGGGGGAAGAGAGAGATTGGAGAATCTCCCAGGAAATTTTCGTTGCCCTACTCTGGAAGTGACACGTCACTTCTTCTTACTTTTCATTGACCAGACCAGCCACGTGGTCCCACCTCACTGCTAGGGGATGGAGAAGAGTATTTCTCCACCTGACCCGGAAGAAGAAACAGGTAACAGAATTTGGTGGCCATACCATGGTCATGATCACAGAGAGCCATTTGACAATCTCTATAGGCAACTTGACCATGTACATTTGCTAAGACCTAGCAATTCTACTCTTAAATATATCCTTGATCGGTCGTTTTCAAACTCTGGAATGATGTTCACAATAAGAACTACGTTTTACATCATAACCCAGCCACATATGTGTATTCTTACAAAAATTTCAGAAGCAGAACTTAGTCTTACTGGGTGCAAGGCACTCGATTTTCTTTCTATTTCATTTCACGTTTCATAAATGATGCTCGCTCTGATCTCCTGATTCCACCAACCTCTAATGGGTTGCAACTCACAGTTTGAAAAATACTGCCCTAGACAGAACTCTTGTGAACGTATATGCACAGGAGCCACGCCCTTTTATCTTCTTGATTTGCAGAAATAATTTTTATCTTTCTTGATATTTACTTAACAATCCCATAAAGCATTTCCAACGTGCCCAGGACTGTTCTAGCACTTTAGAGCTCTGTTGTCCAATATGGTAGCCACTAGCCGCACACAGCCATTGATCCCCTGAAATGGGGCTAGTGCTGCATATTGGAAATATGGTATTTTGGACATATTGGGTTAGATAAAATATATTATTAAAGTGACTTTCATCTGTTTTGTTTCACTTTTTTTTACTGAGGTCATAATAGTTTACAACATTGTGAAATTTCAGTTGTACATTATTATTTGTCAGTCACCATATAAATGCGCCCCTTCACCGCTTGTGCCCACTCTGCAACCCCTTCCCCCTGGTAACCACTAAACTGTTCTCTCTGCCTGTGTGTTAATTTATCTTCCACATATGAGTGAAATCGTGTGTGTTTGTCTTTCTCTGTCTGGCTTATTTTGCTTAACATAATACCCTCAAGGTCCATCCATGTTGTTGCAAATGGGACAATTTTGTCTTTTTTTATGGCTGAGTAGTATTCCATTGTATATATATGCCACATCTTCTTTATCCACTCATCAGTCGATGGGCACTTGGGTTGCTTCCACTTCTTGGCTATATTGAATAACGCTGCAATGAACATAGGGGTGCGTAAGTCTCTCTGAATTGTTGATTTCAAGCTTTTTGGATAAGTACCCAGTAGTGTGATAGCTGGGTCAAATGGTATTTCTATTTTTAATTTTTTGAGAAATTTCTGTACTGTTTTCCATAGTGGCTGCATCAGTTTGCACTCCCACCAGCAGCATATGAGAGTTCCCTTCTCTCCACATCCTCTCCAACATCTGTTATTTTTTATCTTGATGATTATAGCCATTCTCACAGGTGTAAGGTGACATCTTAGTGTAGTTTTGATTTGCATTTCCCTGATGATTAGTAATGCT